TAATTTCTTATATATATATATATATAATTCAAATTGGATATAGATATATCTTAATCTAAATTTGTGAAGTATAAGATATTAGATTTAGAATTCATGTTCAGATTATCGACAAAAAATATTAATCTATATATAACTATTCGGATCAAAATTAAGAGGCCTAATTAAGAGTAACTCTAGTGTTAGGCCTTAGGTTTGGGTCCTGATAAAGAAGGTTCCGGGGTCATATAAATCAAAAGGAAAGTGGCAAGAGATGGAGTGGACTTCATCCTCTCTCTCTTGCCTAAATATTCACTATAATAATAATAATATCCTGATGTTATTGTTACATGGTATTATTATTTAATAAAAAATAATTAATTATCTAAAATAAATTTTCTTTTTATACATAAGGTAGTTATTATATTATATAAAGATGGTGATTATTAAATTATGTGAAATCTATTTATTCTCTTATTAATGATAATATCACTGTTATATCAAACATTTTCTTGACCCTGCCGTTCCATCAATGAAATCCACAAAAAAATGGAAGATAAGGATAAAAGCATGCTCTATTTCCACCGGTCTGTCTTTTTTGACCAAAACATAAATAAGTTGCCTTCAAAAGTTATCACCAACAGCAACTAAAACAGTAGGCTTCTATTCATACTGCTTTTTATTGTAGAATTCAAAACAACCACCACCACCACCAAAACCATCCCCCCCACCCCACCCCACCCCCCAAAAAAAAAAAAAAAAATCTCCCACACAATCCCACAAAAAAAATGCAAAATAAAGGATATAAGGAAAAATATTGCTCTATTGCAAGAGTAAATATTGGGTGTAACGGAGATATCACGTGATGTCAATGTCATCAACCAATCACTCTTTCCGTTGATAAATATCTGTCGTTTAAAGTTTTTACATAGCGATTAAGGAAGTTATTAAATAACTCTAATATGAGTAAAAAATAAATGCACAAGACTAAAATATTCTTATTCAATACGTATTGAGAAGAAAATGAATATGAAAGTCACTTAACTTCTACTTAATCTAATGTATTGAAAAGTTAAGGGTAAATTTGGAAGAAAAAATATTAATTATGTTTTAGTTTCATTAAACGACAGATATTATGAAACAAAAAAAAATTGTATAAAACGACGTATACTTAAAAACGAAGGGAGTATAAAATAACAAATGAGATTGGTGAATTTTGTTATTCATGTAACAAAGATAGTTATTGGTAGTTTGAAGAAATAGTAGAATTCTATTAAATTTATTTGATATTTTATTGTTGGTCAGTGATGATATATTATCAATGTTGTGACGTAACAAACAACCTGTCTTTTTTGACCAAAATAGAGGAAAGTAGCGTTAAATAGTTCCACCAATGGCAACTATAGATTCCATCTAATCATACAAGTGGGGGCCACGATCTCCCTAACCAATGGCTAAACATGAGAAGAATAAGGTGGTTGGCTTGTGTTCTTGTTTTTGCCTTAGTATTTGATTAGGTACTTCAATGCCAACATATGAGTCAGGTAAACCAGTATTTATATTCTTAATGTGTGTCATATCTCTATAGGAAAAGAGTGCAGAATACAAAAGAAAACAAATAAAAGAGACAAATATAGGTATTTAAGTAATCAATCACACATGATTATCATTGTGCCTAACTCCTTAGGGGAATGAATGCAAAATTGCCATGCATCTCTTGCTTTGCCTCGTTATTAGATTCATTCATAGACATTTTTAGTTGAAACCGAACATGTAAAACTTAAATATCAAATATGTAGGAAGATCAGTGGCCGTTGAAAAGAGATGGTACAGAAGTGACGGTAAATGCTTATTCACATAAATGATATATCTTGGATTTGAGTTTAGACATCAATTCTTTTAAAAGGGTAAGATTGTCGATCACTTATCTCTCAAAAACCCACTATAGTCAAAGTCAAGTATAAATAGTTATTATTTACATTGGGCTGTATTAAGATGGGAGTACTAAATACAGATCTAACATTTTATTTTACTTATTTAATGTAACTGTACTCAAATTCAAACGAAAGATAACCTAGCAACGTTTCTACTGCACCAAAGTACCCCCCCCCCCCCCCCCCCAGGTCTCCTCCCTCTTCTCTTATATTAGTGTGACAAAAAATGAAGGCCCACCAATGGCCACCATTCACCGCCCAAGGTAGGTGTTGGGTCCAAACTAGCACTTTGGTCTTCGACTTCTTATATATTTCCCCTTCAACAATCATATTGCTCCTCAATAACACCCAACCCTCCTCCCCCCCCCCCTCCCCCATCTAAAAAAAAAACTCATCCCCAAGAAAAGTAAAAGGTGCTAATTTTTGACACGATACGAACAAAATATGAAATTAAAGGATCGGACACAAAATTATAAGAGTTAATGGGTTCAAACGGGTCAATATGCTTAAACATGAAAAAAATCATGTTGAGTTCATATCAAAATTAGGTCAACCCGATTTGACCTGATTAACCCGTATATTTTAAATGGGTTGATATGATTTGGACACGAACCCGACCTAACCCATTGTAGACCCGTTTATGACAATATAATTTACTTATTATGTATGACTGATTTGGTCTTAACATTATTACTTATTAGTTCTTGCTTCTACTATGATAATTGACAGTATAGTTCTTAACATTATTACGATAATATATTAGTATAATTCTTGCTTTAATTTTTGGGTTGAAACTTATGTGTAATTTAGTTAATTTCATTGATGAGATGTGATATGTTATTTGTAAAAAAATTATTTAAAATTTTGAATAAATAATTGAATTATGTATTTAATAGTAATGAACTGGTGTGAAAACAAGTTATGTGTGTTAAAGAAGTCTATGTTATATTTCTTAAACAAATTAAAGGGATCGTGTTATGTGTGTTAACCTAAAAATGACATGTTTATTAAACGTGTCAAATTGATCGAGTTCAGGTAACTCGTTTAATTGTCAGGTCAGGTTAGTGTTTACACATCTCGACACAATTATTAAACATGTCAGGTTTGGATTTTAAGATTTTTGACACAAACTCGAAATCAACCCAATACGAAATGACCCAACCCGATACATTTGACATCCCGACAAAAAAAAACAATAAAGAACAGTTATACAAGATTTAAATGGTTTTGCAATATATTTACCTATGAGAGTAGTTTTACCATATAAAAACTCTCAATAGAGGAATAACTTAGGAAACACAGATATGAGAATATTACAAAATTAAATAATATAAGACATAAGTATGATATAATACGACTAATTAAAATAATATTATATATTTTTTAGATAATTATAAATATATTAAAAATATATGTTTTATAACAAGATTAATAATACAATCTAGCAAATATTAATTTTATATTAAAATTAAAATAGATCAAAATAAATATCCATCATTTTCATCAAACATCATTACATTCATAATCCATAAATTACATAATAAAAACAAAATAAAAAAGTTCTACATCCCTCTCAATAATTAACGGTCGTGAGATTATAAAGAAAATTTTGGTCGTATCTTAATCATGTCTAATTGAAAAAAAAACACAAATTTATTGTTTAGGACACTTCTAGCCATATCAAAGACGTGTCTAGTCATATCCGGGTCGAACATATGTCTAACACTATCACAACACCCCTCCAACAAGTATCCAAACTTCCAATGTAGCAACTTATTTATAGGCATCAGTTACTAATCCTAATACCCAAAGTTCTAGTAAATCTGATACACCCAATACTCGTAAAATTCATATACCAGATATACATTAAAATCTCCACTATACATATACCATCGCACACCCAAATCTATTGTGCAATTCTTGAGACTCGTCAATAAACATCTTTGGTGCCCAGTGGCGCCCACCCGTTCATTGGTTTTTAGGTTTAGTAAATACGAGTCATTCACTATTTCCAACAAACTAAAAACCCCCAAATCTAAAACTAAATTTTTATTACTATTCTGTAACGTCAAAGTTGCCTTCATAGATCATCTCCTTCCACAGTTTTTCGCTGTTTTTTTTTTTTTTAATAGTTAGGAATGTTCGAACTAACTTACACTTTAACTAATTCTCTCTCCGGTTCAATGAAAGGCAGGGTGTCAATTTTATCAATTAACCCGACCCTGACCCGACACAAAACTAGAAAAAAAACACAATTAGTTGACACGAATAATAAATAGATCAAATTAAAATACTGTGAATAAAAAATAAGTATTTAACGAGTATTGTAGATAAAAAATAAGATTTTTTTAATTTTTAAATAGTATTATATGAATTATTATGGAATTAAATAATTTTTTTATTAAAACGAATCCGACATGTACCGAAAATAACCTAACACGAAAATAACATGATCGAAAATGACATGACACGACAAGATTAAAGTATTCATAAATAATAAATATCTCATGACCTGATCTCATGGATTATCAAGTTTCGAACTCAGGATATATGAGTTTATAGCTCGTCCCTAGTATTATTTGACGGTTTTAACCTACTAGTGGAGTTATTTCTTGCCGTATTTAGATCATAGTATAGGATTTTATCTCCAACACAACAAAGAAAATGGGTTTGTTTTTAGATTGTACCTGATCAAAATCCCTCCACATTCATTAACTCAATGCATAGGCCTAAGCGCGAAAAGGATAGCCCAGGAGACTAGTCCACACCTGGGCTAAAAGCAACAGAAACAGATCAACCAAAATTGTGAACAGCCCAGTTCCGATCCAAATCGTTCATGAGTATGTATATGGATCAAGATAGTCCACATTTAGCTTAATACAAATAGTTTCAGGCTACCACTTCAGTAAATTTTTTTCCCCTTTGCTTACATCCACTTGAATTGATCAAAGTCCTGCCTTTTGTCATGGGATAATCCAGCTGTGGAAGTTGAATGCCATTCCACAGACAGCCATAGCCTTCAAAGACACTCTTGAATGGGTCGATCAGTCAAAGTGAATTCCCATAAGCATACTGAACTGGTCCATCTGGCCTCCTTACCTGATATAGGAAACTTGAAACAGAAAACAATAGACCTTTAAAGATATGGACAAACCTATGGTACTGAAAGTAATTTTCAGTATCATTACTGAAAAATGATCTTCCACCATAGATTTTGATTTGGGTTTTCGTAACCATTGATCCCAAATACAATGAAATAAATCAAATCACTATTCATGTTTTGATTGGATAAAAAAAGTAAGTAGGGTACCGGAAAACTATTTTTTAGTACCAAAGTCTAACCTGAAAGATACACTTTGTATGCCTGAAAATGTTGCTGGTCTGACCAATAACCATTCGCAAAATAAACATCTGCCAATGCATTTGTAATCTTTCGGATAAGGGCATTACGTATCTATCAATCCCTTCTTAGCATCCTGTTGCTGTATTTGATTTTTGTGATGTCTTTAGGATGAGAACAAAATTTCTAACTAAACCTTCAAGCAGCTTGAATCTGACCTCCAGTTTTATTAACTTAATGTACTCTTTCAGAAGGTGTTCTCGACGATGGATGGATCATGGAATAATGGTTGAAGTCTCTATAAATGCGCATATAATCAACAGCATGCTACCTCAGAAAACCGACCATCAATTACACCCAATCAGCAATTCAATAACCTAACCTGAGTGATGTTGAGGTCTAAACATGCAGCCAGTAGTTTCAACTTTCTGTACACAACATCCAAAGGACAGCAGAGTGAACCTGTCACATTCAAAAGAGCTGGAGTAAAAAATATTGATTTATACCACTTCACCAATGTGCAACTTCTTGACAGAGTGCTTCTATTCATTTAACAAGATAAAGAAATATTTTTGGATGCAGAAATGTTGTCATTCTATTTTGAAACTTGGACCTTGGTTGCTACAAATAGTCAGAGACTTGTCCACCAAACTTGGAATCACTTGGTAATGCAAAGTACTTTCAACAAATTACACATAAATTCATTCAAATTCTCATTAACGCCAAGCCTTTCCCACAGAAAAGAAATGCCACACTCACTTCTATTTGTGCTTTCAAAGCATCAAGTTATCTTGAGCAGACATCAAAGAAGCAATAGGATGGCATTTTGTTCAGAAAGGATATGGGAAAGTTACGTAAATGAAGGGAAATGTTTGGTAACCAGAGACAAGCACAACAGCTTCTCTTTTATTAATAGTTGATTCATGCATCAATTTCCAGTGACACCAAAGTTGAAGCTCCAGACAAAGGAAGAGTGATCTTGATTTTAGTACTGAAAGAAGAAAAGTTTCACCTTGTCTAAATTACTCAGTTTAAGTCGTATATTTGTTTTTCCAGTAAAATTCCTATTCAGCATGGTATAAAATCTTTATTGAAATCTACACCTGTTATGTTTTCTCCTCCCGATGGAGAAATGTACATTTGTTTCTTGTAAGTCACATGCATTCATTTTGATTCTGGGAAATTTTCATAAAACACGTCACAATAGCTTGTGCTAAACTTGCAATGTCAAAAATGGCCTCTTTAAACAATAGAAAATCAAACTAACTTCAAAAATATTAAATGATTAAAACTGTAATACAAGAAGCAGCCCAAATTTACTGAAGATGCACAAGTTACCAATATTTTGCAATCTTAAATATAGATGCTGACAACTACTTTAACATTTGGAACATGAAAAATGTTAGACAAAGTTCTGAAGACTCTTCATGATCCTACAATATATAGGTCAAGCATATAAGAAATAATCAAAAAACCATGCACAAGTAAGCAAGTAATTGCACAATCTTAACAAAAATTTAACATACAGAATCACATCTTCGGATCTGCATCCTTGGAATTTTTCGAGTTTAAAATCCCTCGTCCACGTCAGAGTGCGCCGACTCTGTCCATGTCCACATGTCATAGAACAAGTTGATGAGCAAGGAATTTTGAGCTATTATATTTGCAGCAGAAGCTAGGAAATCAGGCTATGAAAGCTCTGCTATGTACTGGAAAATATAACCATCCACATATTAAACTCTTTATGGTAACTACATAACACATTTACCGCAAAAGACTAAGTCAATAATACTTCATCCCCTGCCCAACTAAACGTTTTGAGTGTGTCCACTATCTCTTCAATCTTTGGATGAGAAAAATCACCTATCGTAAACTTTTCAAAAATTCCCTTCACTTCAATCAGACTATGGCCAGGCTCCTTCTTCAATCCACTTCCCTTCAACATCTTCCTTGCCTCTGCAACACCATACCATATCCCATCTGAAGCATATAAGTTCGACAATAACACAAAAGGCGAAGTTGTAACTGGTTGAAGTTGTAGGAGCCGCCTAGCCAAACGTTCACCAATTACAACATCTCCATGCAGTCGACATGCAGAAAGCAAGCAACCTAAAACCACTGGATCATGCCCAAAAGGAAATCTCTCCATGTACCCTTCAGCCTCATCTAGTCTCCCTGCTCGTCCTAGAAGATCAACAAGGCAAGACAAATGCTCAATATCAGGGCAATCCCGTAGATACTATCCATGGATTTGAAGTAGGCTTGGCCCAAATCCACAAGCCCTGCATGGTTGCAAGCTGTTAGAAGTCCAATAAAAGTAACAGAATCTGGCTTCACTCCCATTTCCTTCATCTCCTCAAATAATTCAATCACTTTTTTCCCAAGCCCATGATTTGCAAATCCAGCTATGATGCTGTTCCATGAAACGAGATTACGACATCCCATTAGGTTGAAAATAGTGTATCCATATCCAATACACCCACATTTAGCATACATGTTTACAAGTGCATTCTCAACAATCACATCCTCAGCCAACTTTGTTCGGATAAGAAGAGCATGAACCTGCCTGCCATGGTGTATGGAAGCAAGGCCAGCACATGCAGCAAGCGCACTTGCATATGTGAAATCATCAGGCCTTACTCTATTTTCAGTTACCATCTCTCTGAAAGCAGTCAAACCCTTTGCATGATCATCACATTGAGAACAAGCAGCAATGAAGGTGTTCCATGAAATGACATCCTTGTCTGCAATCAATCTGAAGGCCTTCTCTATATCTACTATCACATTGAACTTTGAATACATTGTCATTATCACATTGCCAACAAACGGGGAGGAATCAAGTTTGTGCTTGATTGTCTGGCAATGCAGTTCCATTCCCCTTTGTGAATCCTCAGCTGTGCTGCACATTCCCAACACACCCGCAAAGGTGAAACGGTCTGGAATTAGTCCTCGTTGGCACATAAGCATGAACACTTGAAACCCTCTTTCTGGCTGCTTATTTTCTACCAGCCCAGTTATCAATGCATTATAAGATACAGAATCCGGTGCAGATGTGGTATCAAAAACTGATAACGCATCATTACATAGACCACATCTCATGTACATTGAGATAAGCGAATTCGCAACGAAAGAAATGAACGAATAACCTAATTTCAGTGACTGGGAGTGAATTTGTTGGCCCAGTCTAAGGGCCAACAAACTGGCACAGGCACTGATAGAACTAGCAAAGATGAACTCGTTGGGTTGGAGTCTCATTTGAGAAAAAAAGTAAAGTGCCATTAGAGGCTTCCCAGCCTGGTTAAAACCAGAGATCATAGCTGACCAGGAAACAAGATTTCTGTCAGACATTTCGTCGAACAACTGGCGGGCACAATTGATGTTACCACACTTGGCATACATATTCAAGGTATGATTGGAGACAAGAACATCGGAAATCATGCCTGTTTTGACAACAGCGGCGTGAAGAGAAAGTCCAAACCGAAAAGCCTTGGATTTGGAGCACTGGTGCAACAGTAAGCCAAGGTTTTCCGCTATCATGAAGGATCTCCCTCCTTAATTGACCACAGTTTTTCATATGTAACGAAACTCTCTCTGAAATTGGGTTCACTTCAAAGTGAAAATTTTAATTTACGAATAAATATTTCTACTTAGGGCGAGTTTAAATTTTAACAATTCAATTAAATTATGAAAAATTTTACGAGGGATTTCCAGGCTTGGATTGGATGACCCTCGGCTTTGAGTTTGCATGAACTTTTTGAACCTGGACCAGCCTTCTCTAATTCTAACTCAGTCTACCCAGTTACTTTCTTTAGTTGGTCCATTGGTTAGTCAGCCAATTTGCAGGCCCATATAAAACAGGCCGGCCCATTTTCAAAAAGCATCAACAGGGCAGCCTACCCCACTACCCACTCCCTCCCCCAAAAAACACTCCTCCCCAACAAAATAATAGAAAGAGATGTGATTCAATAAAAATTTGGCATTGAGCTCGAGATTGAGTCGAGTTAATCGTGGAGCTTAGATTATTGCTTATGAAAGGACAAAATTTACTTGAACGAGTTCTATTCAAATTGAGATTCGAGCCGATTTTAAACCGATCAAATGATTTTAATACCCTGTTTGAACAAAGGACTTGAAGTCTAATAACATGAAAACAAACTGAAACGAACTCATTCACCCAAAAATGGAAAGAATTTAATATTTTCAACAAATTTTTTGAATTTTTCAAAGGGTGCTGTCATTGATTTGATAGGAGTGAAGAGGAGAGAGTGAGAGACAGAGTCATTATCATAGGGTGAATTAGTTACATGTTATCTGGACTTTAATTTAATAAGTTGATGATGACCATAATCTTAAATTGATTTGAGGGCACAAAAAAGATGAGACTAATGGGAGTGATTTGTCATTTTTTAAGCACCACAAGTCAATCTGCTCTTCATGTCGACAACAACCCTTGGCCCCCTCCCATTATAGTTTTGTACAGGAGGGAAGCCTTTCTCTATTTATCCAGAATAAGTGCTCTCTCTCTCTCTCTCTCTCTCTCTCTCGGTCTACTTATGTTAGTTCAAATACTCCTGGTCGTTAAAAAAAAAAAAAAGTGATCTTATGATTTTATAGTGAATGAGCCAAATTGTGACACAATTATGAATGTCATTCAAAAAAGTCATTCAGCAAGTTAATTAGTCAAAAATATTGAATCTTACTTACCATTGTAAGGAGTGTTTTGTGATAATGTCGCACTCCACTTATTCCGTATTTATGACATACCGTAGATTACAATTAGGTTATTATTAATTTGAAAAAATAAATTATTTTTTGAACCAATGCATTTTCTGTGGGATATTAGTCACGTTTATAACTCAATTTGCAACAACTTGGTTTATTTATTTATATTATTAAACTTGTCCAAGTAAGTGTCTTCTTCTTATGTACGAACAACAACGTAATTTCAATTTGCCGCATCTGAGTATTAAATGTCGGACCATTAAGTTGATTAAATATACTGAGTGAGTGAGGTACCTTATACATAATTTTTCAAAACCTAAAAAGAAACATCAAATTTTTTCAAAATTTATGAGGTGTCTGTGGTATTTTAAAAAATATGAGGGGGACCATGTCCTTTTGGACCACAACATGGCTCCATGCCCTCTCTCTATGTCTCTCTCTCCGCTTGGCTCGTTAATTTCAGCTCTTTCAAGTTCGACTCGTTTATAAATGAGTTAAATTTGAATAAATTTTTAGACCCGTTTAAAAAAATGAGTCCAAAAAATTTGACTCAAACTCGACATGTTTAACTCATTTATGTGCAATTATTAGGGCAGACTCACTCCGCTCATTTAAAACGAACCAAATTTGAACAATTTTTTGAATTGGTTAAAAAAACACTAGCTCAAGTTCAAGCTCATTTGACTATCGGACCTACTCTCCACACACACACACACAAATAGTGCGTACAAAAAAAAAAAAACAATGTTATTGAGACAAAATTCATTATAATCATTGAATTGATGACAAACCCTATTAAATTTTAGAATTTGGTATTAATTCAACAGTTATAATTAAGTCACATCATCATGTTAGCTAATTAGATCAAATTTTTAAATCCAAATAATATTACTAAAAAAAAAAAAACATTCAAGTAAATCATCAATCCTAACCGTTTGATTGGTGAGAGCATTAAAAGCCAGCAAGTATAATAAATGTTAGTGTTACAGTGAATTACAATCAAAACTACCCGACTAGTGGATATTAGAGCAAAAAATGTGGTGGCTAAATTTTTTTATCAAATCAACTGAACCATTAGATTAACGGGTCTTGTTGAAAAATTAATAGAATCTATTGATATGATAGTTTACGGTAATTTAATGAGCAAATTTAATAATTCTTTTTGAAATTTATTGAATATGCTGCACTTACAAATGAATATCTTCAAAAAATGGGTGTATGGGTAATTTATCATTTATCTCTCTCTAATTTTATTTAGAAATAAGAGCGTGGTGTATTAGATTTGGCCTTTTTATAATAAATATTTTTTTTTCATACTAACAAAACTTATTTTATCAATACATCTACAAGTTACTTCTCAATACCGTACTTTTGTTTATTCTCCAACAACCACACGACACATGTAGAGTTTTGTTATTTTATTATTATTCACAAATCAACAATCACAATTAAAATAAATTTCAATACCATGGTCTTATTACTAATGAGTATTACTTTAGGGATTGTGCGTAAGACTGATAATTGAGTGAGGGCTTAATTTTGATAGAACTCAATTTAAATTTGATTCATATTTTTAAATTAGTTGGGTTTAAATAATTTTTTAAATTTATCTAAAAGACGAGTTTAAAGAATTTTACTCGACCTCTCGGCTCCATTGTCAGCCATTCTGTCTTGGGAGGTGTCACATCAACATGAAAATGAGATCATTTCGTTTGTATTGAATGTCATGTTTGGGAGAATCATTAATACATTTCCCTATCCCGACACATGGTCTTACTCAAAGTCACATGTGCTGTATAAAGAAAAAGACAACTCTGGTGGGGGCGTCCCTCACATGGTGCTCAGAAAGCAACAGCAACAAAAAAAAAAAAAAATCAATTGCACAAAAAACAGAGTACCAAAATCACAAGAAAACGTATGTATCATTAAAATTTATTATAATTGAGGTAAATTCAAAAATCAGCCTCATCAAAATTAGAATAAATTTTGTACCATTGTTTCTATCCAGATTTTCTTATCGATGAGGAGTCTTATGTATTGGGTATAATTTTTTATGTTCATTTATGGGGAATAACTTACTGAATAAACTAGAGTATTTTCTATTTTTATTTTTGCTAATATATGCTATTTACCTATATATTATTTAATATATGTATATATCATTTTTATCTATTATATATTATGAATACATTAATATTAGATACAAATATAACGATAAAATATATATTTATATTTTTTAATCTTACCAAACACACAAAAAATTCATAAATTCCTACTTCTCATCTCTACTATAAAATACAAAAGAGGAAAATAATGATTCATATGTTGAAAGATGGAAAGTGTATTACTCAAATTTTTCATTCTTTTATTTTTCATCCACTCAACCAATTACACCATTAAGGTGATCCACTGGTCATGTCTGCATTCTTATAAGAAATAGGTCTCAGGTTTCATATTTCCTACATCTTTTACGGTTCAGTCATCCTTATTTCTCATGGGGTATGTCCTTAAACTAACTTGAATTATGACGGCCGACTTAAAATTCGAGAAAGTAATCGATACAAACTTAAACACCTTGTAATTGAAAAAAAAAACTAAAAACTAAAGGAAACCCACCCATATTAATTTAGTGGGTGAATAAGAGTTGTAACATAAATTCGCACGTATTATGTCTGAGTTTTATAAATAAAAAATATTTGAGTTTAATCATATGTTTAAGGTTTTCATTGAAGTCTTAAGTTTGAGGAAAGCTTAATTTGGACGATTCCACATTGCCAAAAAAAAAAAACACTTGAGAATCTCATTCTTCTTTAAATAAAAAAGAGTCTAGAATGCCAGCTATCTCATTCCTAATGGGAAAAGGTAGGAAAATCAAATTTGATACACTTCCGTGTCACATAAAGTTGAGCATCAGATGTTGTGTAGACTCCAGACCCATGTCCATTTCGAAGTAATCTTACATAAATTTAAAAAATAGATGATTCTATAAAAAAAAAAATAATGAGTTTCAATAAATACTGAAATTCACAATAAAATCAATGATTATAATTATCAATTCTACTTTTTAGATTTATTTTTTTAATTCATATAGTATTGCTCTATCCATTTGGATATGCACATGACTTGCTGTTGAATTACCCTTCTTCTAGGTTAAGCAATCCAAAACTTTTTTGACCTTTGATTTATGAGCTTGCATTACTCACGCGTTTCGAACTTCCATTATATCTTTTTTGACCTTTGATTTATGAGCTTGCATTACTCACACGTTTCGAACTTCCATTATATCTATTATTGGAAATTCTACCCATATCAGAAATCAACAAGGAGTTAAAAAAATTTGAGATTTAATCTTGATAAACTTGAGTTATTTATGGATAAACTTATCAAGTCTGTCAACTAAATGATTTGGTATGAATTTGAAATAAACTTGATTCAAATTGAAGGTTCAGGTAGATGGAATAATATAGGAGTGTGTTTCAAGTTTTGGTATACTCAAGTTTAACTTGAGTTGACAATTGTAAGCTTGAGTTCCATTATTGAACTTGGATTCTTACTCCCTCAATTTTGCTTGTTTATATGCTGATAAATTGAGTTCAAGCTCGATGAAACAATAAAACAATTCTATCGAGTCGAGTGTAATATTGTTCTGACTCGACTTAAATATTAAACGAATTTAACAATTTGATATATTCTCTGTTCCTCTATTTACATGATATCAGAAAAAGCTTATTCACATTAATCTTCTCTTCAAAGACTACACGGCAACTTGCCACTAAACCACCCCCCCCCCTCCACCCCCAAAAAAAAAAATAGTT